CCTAGCCATGATGGGAAAAGTGGGCACTGCTCTGATTTAAATGCACCAATGCTAAAAGCAAATCAAGCAAATAGGAGAGTGGGAAGCTTCAGGATTGTCAGCATAAAACTCAGTCTCCTCTGCTCATGTCCACTTTCTGTCAACCATACTCTCCTCCTCATCCCTGCAATCTGGCTCCAGCCTTTATAGGTCCACAGAAATTGAACTTTCCAGGGTGACCAGTGGCCTGTTAATTGCTGGGTGGAATAGCATCTTCCCACCCTCATTCGCCTTAACTCGTTTTAGTGTGTGAGCATCTGAGATGTCTCCTTCAGAAGAAACTTGCTCTTCCCCTTTGTTAGGTAATACTCATTTCTTGACTTCCTCCCCTACCCTGACTACTCCTTAGGCAAGCCACTGTCTCCTGTGGCTCCTCCCACTCCCACACTTCCTTAGCCCTCTTCTGTCTGGGTTCTGCTAAGAAGTTGCAGTTTTTTCTGCACCTGCAGGCCTGGCCTCCTTTCCTTCACCTCCCCACCAGCCACACCCCCAGCCCCAGCCCTACTCCCTGGCTTTCTCTTGTCTGCCATTTTCTCCCGGATAAACCAAACTTGCTAGTTAATTTTATAACATCATCTTTCTGACTTTACTATTTTAAAACATTTTTTCAAGGGTTAGGACATTTTTCCTTTTTATAAATGTAATAAATATTCACTATAAGAGTTTTATACAACAAAAAGGCACCAAGAAGAATAAAAAATTACAGAAAATCTCACTATCCAGTAGTTATCTCAGTAACCACTAGGAACATTTTGGCATATGTCTTTCCCATGTTTTTATAATGTGTATCTACCCCAGAAAAGTCACCTGGGATCATACTGGACACAATTTTCATCACATGTTTTTTCATTAATAGCATTGTGAATATTTTTCCCATGTCATTACTTATTTTTCTACTACTAGCTTTAATTGCTACATTATAGTACATTCTATGAATTCATTTAATTTGCTACTTATGAATACTAAATTAATTTTGTCTCACAAAATAAATCACATACAGAAATGATCTATTTTGCTTAGTCTTTGTACACATCCTAATTATTTCCTCAGAAGTAAAACTACCGGTTCAAAGGCATTTACATTTTTAAGACTTCTGATGCAAATCATCAAATTGCTCTCTAAAATGTTTGAATATAAACTATCTCAGTGTTCAAGAATAATTACTACTCTAAACCACATCTTATCTTTTTTCAGTGTTTGGAATTTGTAGATGAAATACGCTGTCTAATGATAATTTGCGTGTCTTTGATTGCTAGTGAGACTAGACTTTTTTTATTTTTCAAATGTTTCTTGGTGCCTTGTCATGTTCTTTTGTATGCTCAGGACCTGGAATCTGTCCATCCACTTATGGCTGGCTGATCTTAGGAAAACCACCTTATTGTTCTCAACTCCAGTGTTTTCTCCTATAAAAAAAAGGAATGATATGTTTTCACTCCTCCTAGGATTGTTGTGAGGAGGAATATACAGATGGAGTACTGAAAATGCCTGGCACGTAGTTAGCATGCAATAAATGGTAGTTATTTTTCTTTGCCTATTTTTTTTACCAGATTATTTGTTTTTTCTTTTTGTATTTACAAGAATCTCTGTTTCTTTAGTGGCAACACCACTCCACATCACACAGAATAGTAATAATAGCTACCATTTATTGCCTAGGTGCTATAAGCTAGGTATTGCAATATTTGCATTGCATACAGTATCTCATTAAATCCTCAGGAACATCTGATTGCTATTTCTTCATCAATCAAAATATCTAAACAGTCATCAAGTACCATTAGTTCACAAATTTGATTCAAACTTTTCCTTCCTCCTCCAGTGCCATTTAGAACATTACACTGCTGCTTGGGACTAATGAGATGTCCTCTAAATGGAACTCTATAATTCCAGACAGCTTTTCGGTGTTCCAATACCATTATTAAAGCCACAACTGCCAGAAAAATGATCATTAATTTCAGAATAGAAGAATCCATAATAATTTTTATACAGCTCAAAATATCTCATGGCTCCAGTGACCGCCTGGCCAGTATTCAAAGCCCTCCACAATCTGTCTCTAGCCTATCTTTTCAGCTGTGGGATTCCTGCTTCTACTCTTTCCTTTCTCTGCAACCCTGCCTTTACACATTAGCACACCCTGCAAACACTTGGCTGTAAGCTCTCACATTATGCTGCTCTTTCAGCTGTGCCTTTATTCACTTACTCCACAAATCCCAAGCATCTACTATGTTTCAGGCACTGTTCTCTAGGCATCCATCCTTCTCCATGCACATCTTATGGGTTATGTTTCTCCCTCCTACTAAATGATGATACCATGGTGGGGTTTTCCTTCCATAATCATAAATAATTATTTGTGCATTCAAAAGCTGTATCATCACCTCTTTGCAGGTACTGTCAGTCCATGGGCTCAGATTGGGGGAAAAAATTTAGCACTAGAGGGTGTGCAAGCAGCGGGTATGTTGAGAACACAGTGTCTTCTCACAGAGATTTTTATAGCCAAGCTATATAAGAGAGGGGAGGAGGAGACCAAAGAGAAGGAATAAGTGACAGAGACTTTTAAATACAAGAAAATCACCCCATGTTTCTAAGTTATCTTCTTGGACACACTCATTTTGCTATAGAAAAAAGGACGTAATGAGGGAGGAAAGAAAATTATGTTTTCCGTGTGTTATCTCAGTTGTTTGTCCCAACAGTCGAAGGACATATTATTCCCACTTAAAAGATAGGGAAATCAAGGTTTGAGGTTGTGAAACAATCTGCCTAATGTCATACAATGAGATGATGAAATAATTAGGATTCCAACCCAGTCTTTTTGACTCCAGCATCAATCTTATTTCCTATACACAGGCCGATAGCTAAAGAAAAAAAAAAAACTGAAACCTTGATCTGGACTGCTTCTATCCTTCACCTCCCATCCAGGACCTCCCTCAACAGTTCTCATGAATGCCTTCTCAAAAATCCCCATGCCAAGATCTCCAGGGGTCCTCTTCAAGCAGCTCAGCTCTGACAAATGACTCAGGCACCAGAACAAGGGCTTTCAAAGTGAATGTGCTGCATCATAATTTTCCCTGCCTCTCTTGCTTCACTTCAGCAAAGGGACAGTGAAATCCTTCTTGGCCATTCCCCTTAGCAACAACATTAATCTTTGAACTCTTCACCATCATTTACTTAAGAGCAATGACATCCCCAGAGATATTCAGTGACTGATGGCAAAGTTACTAAACATCTAGATTTCCTGATGTATTTTTTTCTTTCTTTCACCCTGTCATTTCCATGTTAAGATAAAAAGCATTGTTGTTCAGAGGACTTCCCAGAAATAGCAAGCAGTGATTATTTAGAGAAGTTGAGGCAGCGATTAGAAGAAGTTGCTCTTTTCTGGTATACTTTGTTGTAACCTGTTCCTACATCCGCACTGCCCCATTCACTAGTTCCTGTCTCTCCTGCTCACTCTTTGACCATTATTCATTCCTCTTATTTAGTGTAGAGCGGGTCCGTTTTAATGGAGTATTTCATAGTGTTTATCGTCTGCTCCTTCCTTTTCATCGTATGGCTGCCATATTCTTTTGGCAAACATTTGCTGAGCATCTACTACGCGCCAGGCTCTGTGCCAGCAGCTGGGCTTTGTCATTTCATTTCTGACAGTCACAATAGCTTCCAAATGGATATCCCTGTCTTCAGTTTCTCCCCAAATCCATCTACTACATCCTGCTGCCAAACCAATCTGTCCGAATTTTACTTTGTAAACAGTACTCTCCACCCACCTGCCCATGGGATTAAGTTCCTACTTATTAGCTCTCTCATACCTGCCCTATCAATGCCTTTTAGGTTTTTACATTGTGAAGTCCAAGGCGTTCTACTTATTTACTCCCCAGCATCCCATGTGCTTGGTGTCTTATAGCTATAAGCTCTCTAAATTTTCAAGTCCTACTCCATGCTCACTTAATAAATGGGGGCAAACTCCATCCCTGGGGCAGCAGAGGATGTGGCCCAACTAACACGTTCCAGTTAAAGAGGAGAACCAGCCTAACACTCCTCCCTAAGAAGAGTCGGAATGTCCCAGCATTAGGGATAAGACGCAATACTAACCATGTCAACTTGCTAAATCCTGAAACAGGAATTCCCATCAAATCACCCTTCCATTCACTGAGTCATTCAATAAAATAGTTTTTGGGTATCACCTATATGCTAGGCATCCTGATGAGTGCTGGGGAACAACAGCGAGTAAGAGAAACAGGTTCTTGCCCTCATGAAGCTTTTAGCCTAGTAGAAGGGACACATTAAACATATAAACACGTGCAATATATGAGTAAATAAAATACTAGGTTGGGACAAAAGTCATTGCAGATTTTGCCATTAAAAGTAATGGCAAACTGTGGTTATTTTTGCACTAACTTATAATAGAAATGTGGAGTGTTAATGAAAAGAGAAATAAGTGTTGTGATACAGCAAGGTAGGATATGCTACTGGAGACAGGTGGTGCTATCAAAGAAGGTCTCTGAAGAACAGGCATTTAAGCTGAAATCCAAATGATGAAAAGAAGTCAAACATTCAAAGTGATATTACAGGCTCTTGAACAGCAAGGGTACAGACTCAGAACACACACATCCACCAAGGCCAGTGCAGGTCAATAATTTCACTCCTCACTGGCTTTGGTCTTACACATAATTCATTTGTCCAGTGGGGATGTGGCAGCCCCATCATAACCAAACAGCTTTTCTTTTGAGTACACAGATAGATAAGCCTTTGGTTTGTGAATCTTTAAAATGATTTAAATGTCATCTACATAGCTTTTCTACTTTGCTCTGCTAACAGGGCTATTTATTTCCAACTCAAATTTGCATAATATTTCTAGAATTCAGTATAGCACTCTAGTGATACTCATCACTCTGTACATTAAAAATAACTGTTGTTTGCTTTTTAAAGTTGGTATATACCAGCTCTTTAAACAATCTGTAAGTTGCTTTCCATACCTCGTTGATTAACAGGATCTTTAGCTACATAGGCAACGTAGTCTGTAGTGTCCTATAAAAAAAGGGAAAATAACTGCATTTAAAATGGATGAATTGTATTGTTGAAAGATACATATATATTTAGGACATAATACTGAGGCAAGGACTTAAATACAAATGTTTGTATTTAAAGAAAAAAGGAAAGCATTGTAAAAGGGAACATAAACAAATACACACTATCTAGTTTAACAATTATGGAGTCCATGTTCTCTGTCCCTTGGGAAAATAATTTGAAAATTAAAAATTTAGAGGCAGACTGTCATTAAGAATAAAAGCAGATACAGAATATGTTAGGACACAAATTCTTTAAAAATGGCTAGGGGCTATGAGGCTGTCCTGGATGGAAAGTTGAACTATCAGGGATTATGCAATCACAAAGGTGACATAAACTAAGATGTGGCATCATGATTCCTGTTGTCCAAACGTGTATCACATAGATCAGAAAGTAAGTTGACTAAAGAGACATGTTGGATTTTGCGGTTGTTAGCTTGCTTGTGTGCAGTGCAATTTAACTTAAGGAACAATAAAGTGAAAATACAAGGAATTAATTTGATCAATATACAGAAGAGAAAAACCATTTTTTAAAAAAGACAACCCTTGAAAAAGTAAGTTCAAAAGAGATGCACTGCTGATTTTGTAAAAACAAACAAACAAAATGCCACTTGGTAATTCCAGCTTTTATTGAAAACAGTAAGCTGATGAATGATAAGGTTTGAATAATTAAAGATGCTTTTTGTTATCTAAGTTCTCAGGAAAAAAATATAGACAATGCCATTTGCAGATTAGAAGTATGACTCTCTAGAGGGAAGATGCAATCAACTGGCAGGAAATAAAAGCCCATATTTGTAATACCCTCAAGGACAATCACTTAATAACTCACAATGAATCACACAGGAAGCGGATCTCAGAGTCAGCATAACTTGTCTTGGGTTATTAAAAAAAACACACATACACCTAAGTAAATTTCCCTAATGCAAAAAGAAGAAAGTTCTGAAATATCTTCTAAATAAATAAGGCCATATCTATGGGCTTTCTTTTATATGAATTTGGAAGAAAAGCCACAATCGCTGGGGACACTGCCACTCTTATTCAAGTAAAGAGGTGGTCTGATGCCAACCATGCTGTCTGGTAGGTCCAGTTACGGGAAGGAGGCCGTGAGACCTCTTCAGACCTGAGTTTCCTCATCTTCAAAACAGTCTCCATCATTGGTACAGTTCTAAAATTCTATAGCTGTAAACATTCGAGAGAATTTACAGAATGCTAAAAGTAAAGCACAAATAGCAAGGGAAAATATGTGTAAATAGATATAACTTTTTACATACAATGCATTTTTTAATTAGAGAAAGTATATATAGCTGTAGAGGCATTACCAACAACTGTTTTGAAGGCTGACAGATAAAAAACAAGTTAACTGTTTTTGAAAAGAGAGTAAAAATGAGGGTAAGCAAAGGCCAGGAGATGAGAAGGATATTCATCATTTTTGGAATTTTAGAGGAAATCTTGTAGAAAGATTACTATGCTGGACCACAGGGACTTTTAAGTCATCTTCCTACCCTTGTACCCAATTTGCCGTGAAGCTGTAAATTATCTCAGTTAGTATCCTAAAACAAATATGGGCATGTGTTAGTAATAGTGGTAGTAGTTACTTCTGTGACTGTGTGCCAGGCACTATGCTAACACCAAATATGCATCATTTCATTTAATTCCCACAACATTGTCAAGCAATAGGGATTATCGTCCATTTACATATGAGGACTCTGGAGTTTAGGGAGTTTAAATAAGTCAAGTCTACTTGACTCCAAAGCCTGGCATCACATCATACTGGCTCCCTGACCTGATGGTAAAACTTCACAGAGATGATTTCTAATGCCAATGTTTAGGGTGGCTCCAGATTTCTATTTTATTAGACAGATACTTTAACCAACTAAGCCACAGCACCACCACCAGATTTCTATTTTAAATTTGATTCAACAGGTTTTCTCGCCAAATTCAGAGAGCACAGGAGTGCTCTCAATGCAGCAGGTACAAACTTTCCCACAGTGGCCACAAATTATTTACTGTTTGTTTTCAGTAGGAACAGCGCTTTGGTCAGTTTAAAGAACTAAAGGCAAATGAAGACAGTATGAAAAAATTAAGATTCTGGAGAACAATAATAGAAATCATTCAGGGCATGCCTTGAGTAAATGAGAGTTTGCACACCAATTCTAACACGATCGCAACCCTTGGGAAATTTAGGGTGAACACCAAAAATTATTTTTCACACTACTTGTATAAATACTACTTTAAATCTCTTAGGAAGAGTATTTGGCAGAGGTTGTAGTGAGCTGAGATCGTACACTGCACTCCAGCAAATAAATAAATAAATAAATAAGTATTTGAGTTCCTTCATGGATGACTGAGCCAGGAAGAGAAGGCAGTGCTGGCATTTTTCAGCCTGGATTCAGTTGACCCTCTCTGCCAGACACCATCCTTGGTATGCTATTGAGGCCAGATTACAAGGCTTGATGAAAAAGAGTCCAGATAGGCTCTTGGGCTCAAATAGCAGTTGCTAAGCACCAGAAACATTGTATGTCTCTTGTTTGCTAATGGGAATTCACAATTGGGCATCTGTGGAATTTCTTGGGGGAAAAGGTAAAACTCTTAATATTTGATGTACTTTTAAATGGTAGTATCAAGGAACTAATGCATAGATAATAGTTATTTGAAAATAATTATGCCCAAGGCTATAAGATGAGGAAGTAGAAATGCCTAATGCAGAAATTGAGTGTCCATTAATTAAAAAACAAGGATTTGAAATCCTGTAAAGGCTGCTTTTCTGCGATATGCTTCAGAGAAGTTCTGAAGGCAGGTTGTCTTAGTTTGACATGCTTAAATACTTTGAGTCATTGGTAGCCAATGTGAAGACAAGTACTTATTGAAGTGTTTTTAAGAACTGGCTAATTTAAATAGCATTTAGCCATATATTTTATATACAGGTAAGTTACACTGATATACAAGTGGAAGAACTTGCTTAAATAATTTAGATGCCCGTAAATGAAGCAATGATTACAGAGTAACTTCAGAACTTTACTTCCTTTTAGAATATACAATTATTTCTCCCCCATTAAATATTTAGCAAAAATTTTAAAACTATCATGGTATTAGCTGCAAGATTTAGTTTTTAGCATCCTCTATATCTTTCTTCAGTTTCTAGGTTATTGTTCTATCATTTATAACTCTAAATTTTATTCCTCAATTAGAAGTGGGAACTCAGTGTGGTAGATAGAAAAAAATCAATTGTTATACTGAATTTTGTTGGTTCATTCCTGAAGATATAATCTTTTTAAAAAAAAATGCTTTGCAGAAAAGGTAATACATTCTGAGTAAGAACAAGGTCTGCATATGTTCCCCTTGTTTTCTTGACATTACTGATGTTTAGCCATTATGAAAGTCATACTCTGTCTTCTTCTAACCTTTCATCAAAACATACAGAAGGTTAGAAGAAGAAAGAGTACATTAAAAAGACCCATAATGTCACAGAGTGGCAAAAGTATTCTTCTGCTCCCTCAATTTAAGCAGAATTGCTTCTTGCTCAGTTGCAGGCTCCCTAACTTCAAAGGCCCCCTCCTTTTTCTCTGGTTCAGAAATGGTGCAGTAGGGAGTCAAGGAATGATATTCCAGTCTGCAAATTAGGCTTGGAGAAATCTTATACAATTTCTGGGAAATGAGTACCACACGACCTCTTCTTGGCAGAGAAGAACTACAAGTTCTTTCTTCCCAGTTCACCGTTCCCCTATGAGTTTCTGCAAACATGGTGACTCATTCCAGATTAGATTTATTTGCCTTAGTCGATATACAAGTCCAGTTGATTAGTAGAGTGTGCTAGAAACTCTGCATTGAGAAGAATTCTAAGGAAGGATTGAGGGACACATGTATGACATACTTGCTTTTCATGACCTAGATATTATCCACAAGAAGCTTATTAGATGATAACTCCATGGCTTATAACACAATGGAAGACTGTTTGCTCATCTACTAATCCAAATATTTTAAAATTTAGTGATAGGAAATATTTTGCCCAAAGCAAATTTTTTATTATCTGCTACATGTAGCTATTCACAGACTGTAATAGTATGTTAGGAAAAGCACTGTAGTGGCTAATATAGTTTATGTAAAAGTACTTTTATTTTATCATCTAGCCCCAAATGCCAAGAAGTTCTTTTAACTCTTATAAAAAGAACTTTTGTGAATCCATACTTACAGGATCTCCTCCAGAGGCAAATGAAATAGACTGCATATGATGATTAGCAATAATCTGAAAAACATAAACATGGATGCTAATATAAATCAATCATTATTTCTAGTTATATACAGTCTAACAGTAATAGACATACATTCGTTTCTTTTGTCTTTGCCTAATCAGCATCCTTTTGGAAACTACCCCACTTACACCCTATAATAATCTCATTTAAACTGTGGGATTCCAGTGATTTTGACATGCCCATCTCACTGCCCTTGACCACCCAGGTGGAACATTATCTAGGGCTAGCCAATCAGAAAATAACATCTCTCTGGATACAGCAGAGCCTATCAATGTCTTTTGGGAAGAACTGAAATGAGTAATAGGAGTGAAAGCATCTCTCTCTGCCATTAACAACTATGTAAGGCCAAAGCTTCTGGGGACCATAATCTGCTGCCATGTGAGAAAGGTCTGCTGGAATATGAAGCTTTGTTTCTGATGAAAATCAGAACTGAGAACTAAAAACAGAAAAAAAAGTCTGTTGGTAACATATGTTCCAACACTTCAACCAATACATTTCACCCTGTTCCTTTATATTTTTGTTTATTTTTGCATAAGTTAGATTGAATTTGATTTCAGTCATTCACTACTAAATGTATACTGATTAACGCACTAACATTAGACTTCTAATATGAAGCAAGACTAGCCAAGTAAACTGCATTAATTAGCTAAGAAGATTGTCTTTTATTTGAGGGTCTAGGATTGCTTGTTTGGACACCACCGTGTAATGACCATTTGCAGACATGTATTTGTCATGCTATTTTGAAGGCTGATTAAGACACCAACTATGCAGCTATTGACTAATCCTGTTTTCAGAATCGTGTGACAGAATCTACCAAAGCTGATTAATAAGATGACCAAGCAATTCTATTTCTAGATGTATATCTAACAGAATTATGTAAATATGTGCAACAAAAAATATTCTCCTCAAAAAAAAGATAATAACTGCCCTGTTCATAACAGCCCTAAGGAAACAATTCCAATGATAACTACTGTAATATTCAAATGGTGGCATACTATACAGCAACAACTTGCTTGTTAAGCCAAAGAAGCCTAACACAAAGAATATATGCTGCATGGTTTAATTTATATGAAGTTCAAAACCAGGCAAAATTACTGTATTTGAAATCAGAATCGTGGTTATTTCTAGAGCACAGGAAGAAGGGGCAAATGGTTTTCTGGGATGCTAGAGTTTGTTCATCTGAGTATTGGTTATAAAACTGTTCATTTTGTGATAAGTATTATGGACTTATTATATGTACATTTGTCTACATTTATATTTCAGTAAAAACAAAGTCAACATATAAAGATCAATGTCATTGCCATATATCAACAATAGCCAACCAGACACTGTATTTGGGGGAGAAAGCTATACTTGTAAGAGTACTTCAGTATAAAAAGTAATAAGAATCATGTAATACTTTTTGGAAAACTTCACTGAAGAGTATAAATAAGACCTGAACAAGAAGATATATATCACTTTTATGGATGAGAATATGGTATTAAAAAGGTGTCAATCCTCCCCCAGATTAATTTCTAAATTCCAGGCAATTTCAGTAAAAATGCTAACAATAGCATTTATAGAACTTTTTAAGCTGCTTTTAAAATTCATATGGAAGAATAAATGTGCAAGAAGAGCTAAAGCAATTTTTAAAAGAACAAACGGATAAGAATTCCCTTATCAGATAATAAGACCTATTATAATATCATATTCAAGATGCTCCTAAATTCATATGAAAGAATAAACGTGCAAGAAGAGTTAGGGCAATTTTTTAAGGAACAAAGACAAAATATTCCTGATCAAACAGCAAGATACATTATAAAACTATAGAAATTTCATTAAGAATTAAAAGTCTATGAACAGACTCATGTTTTTAAGAACTTTCAGTTTTTGATAAATATGACATCAAGCAGCGTTCGGCCAGAAATTATGTGTCCATGGTTAGGTGAACTAGAGCCAGAGCTCCCTACCACCGAGCCACAGACCAGTACTGGTTTGTGGCCTCTTAGGAACCAGGCTGCAAAGCACAAGGTGAGCAGCAGGCAAGTAAGAGACACTTCATCTGTATTTACTGCTGCTTCCCATTGCTGACATTACTGTCTAAGTTCTGCCTCCTGTCAGATCAGCAGCGACATTAGACTCTCATAGGAGCAAGAACCCTATCATGAACTATGTATACGAGGGATCTAGGTTGCCTGCTTATTTGAATCTAATGCTTGATGATCTGAGGTAGAGCTGAGGTGGTGATGCCAGCGCTGGGGAGTGGCTGCAAATATAGATTAACATTAGCAGAGAGGTTTGATGGCGCAGAGACCATAATTAATCAATTGCTGGCAGACTCATATCAAAACTTTATCAGTGAGTAGCAAGTGACACTTAAGCTGCATCTGGTGGCAGACTATATAGTGGCAAGTGAGTTGATGTACTTCAGTTGCACAGCTGCAGCTGGGGGCAGGCTTTAAGTCAGAATCTGACATTTATTGTAGTTTGTGTCTGGCCTGACCATTATTTTATTTACCACTTCCATCCATGCCCTTTCCTGCACTTGCACTTTCTCAGTCACAGTTTTGGTAAGCCCATAAACTCACCCTAGCCAAAATGAGTAGAAAGGAGAGCTTCTCTGAAAATGGGGAAAGATCCAGTGATGAGGCAGCAGAATACTTTAAGATTGCCAACAAAAAGAAAGCTGCATTTAAAAGAAAATACCAGAAGTCCTACTTACAATACCGGTCCATTGCAACAGGTGATTCACATTCTCCAAGCTCACTTTGTATAATATGTGACAAGCGGCTATGCAGCAAAGCCATGAAACTGCTTTGTCACATGGAGACCAAGCACCCTGCATTAATAATAAGTCTTTGGGGTTTTCAAAAGAAAAAAATGTGAAAACAAAGAACAGAAGAAATTACTGAAGGCCACCACTTCATCAATTTGTCTACACTGAGAGTGTCATTCTTAGTGGCTAACCACATTGCTAAAGCTAAGAAGCCCTTTGCTATTGGTGAAGAGTTGATCTTGCCTGCTGCTAAGGACATTTGTCATGAACTTTTAGGATAGGCTGCAGTTCAAAAGGTAGCAAGTGTTTATCTTTTGGCTAGCACCGCAACTCGACAAATTGATAAAATATTACAGGATAATGAGGCACAATTGTTAGAGAGGATTAATGAGTCACCATGGTATGCAATCCAGGTTGATGAGTCTACCGATGCTGATAACAAAGCAACATGGTTTTTCGTGTGTGATATATTTTTCAAGATGTGAATGAGGATATGTTATATGCACTTTTGTTGCCAACCAGCACCACAGCTGCAGAACTATTCAAGTCTTTGAATGATTACGTATCATGAAATGGAATCAAGTCGTTTTGTGTTGGTATATGCACAGGTAGAGCAGCTGCCATGACTGGACGGCATTCTGGTTTCACTACTCCGGTCAAAGAGGCCGCTTCTGAATGTGAGTCTATGCACTGTATCACCATAGGGAAATGCTGGCTAGCCGGAAAATGCCACCTGAACTTCACAAGGTTTTGCAGTATGTGATTAAAATTATCAACCACATTATACATGCCCTTAACTCACATCTGTTTGCACAGCTCTGTAAGGAGATGGATGCGGAGCACATGTGTCTTCTCTTATACACAGAAGTGAGATGGCTTTCTAAAGGTACATCACTGGCCGCAGTTTTTGAGTTAAGAGAGCTGCTTCAGAGACTTCTTTTGAGAAAAACAGAAGAAATATGTCCCACTAACAGCACATTTCATGACATCAAATGGGTCACAAAACTTGCTGACTTGTATGACATAGCCTGCTCAATGAACTCTGTCACTTCAGGGAAGAACGACAACTGTGTTCAAGTTGGCAGATAAAGTGGCTGCATTCGAAGCCAAACTGAAAACATGTGGATGACAAATGAACACTGGGATTTCTGCTGTCTCAAACATTAGCAGATTTTGAAAGAGACTGAGCCAGGACCTTCGTTCTCCCAGCTGGTGCATGATTACCTATCTCAGCTTTCAAAAGAGTTTGAACATTACTTCCTGTATTAGTCAGGGCTCTTTAAGGGGACAGAACTAATAGATTAGATATATACATATATAAAAAGAAGAGTTCATTAAGTATTAGCTCACACTATCATAAGGTCCCACAATAGGCCATCCGTAGGCTGAGGAGTGAGGAGAGCCAGTCTGAGTTCCAAAACTAAAGAACTTGGAGTCTGAGGTGTGAGGGCAGGAAGCATCCAGCACGGGAGAAAGATGTAGGCTGGGAGGCTCGGCCAGTCTCTCTTTTCACATTTTTCTGCCTGCTTATATTCTAACCGAGCTGGCAGCTGATTAGATTGTGCCCACCCAGCTTGAGGGTGGGTCTGCCTTTCCCAGCCCACTGACTCAAATGTTAATTTCCTTTGGAAACACCCTTACAGACACACCAAGGATCAATACCTGTATCCTTCAATCCAATCAAGTTGAATCTCAGTATTAACCATCACACTTCCCATTCACAAAAGATGGAATGGATCTGTGACCCTTTTGTGAATAATCCAGGTGAATCCACTTTGTCCATGGTAGAAAAGGATCAACTGCTTGATACTGAAAATGAGAGGCCTTAAAAGTATGTTTGAGACTTCAACTCTCTATACGTTCTCTTTTGCTTTTTTTTTTTTTTTTTTTGGTATCAGGATGATGCTGGCCTCATTCTATACGTTCTCATTAAAGTAAAGGAGGAATATCCCGAGATTGCCACAAAAGTACTGAAAAGCCAGCTTCCATTTCCAACATTCTATCTTTGTGAGGCAGGGTTTTCTGCAGTAGCAGCAACCAAAACGAGATTACCGAATAGACTGGACATAAGCAACACACCTCGGGTGTCACTGTCTCTCATTACTCCCAGATGGGACTGTCCAGTTGCAGGAAAAGCAGCTCAGGGCTCTCACTGATTCTACGTTATGGGGAGCTGTATAATTATTTCATTATATACTACAATGTAATAATAATAGAAATAAAGAGCAGAATGAATGA